TTTTTTTCTACACAACATATAGAAGGTTGGTTTCATACAATTTGTTAATTCATGGAATACCTTCATTGCATTGTTAATGTGAATAGGACAGCTACTTTATCCCAAGAATTGTATAATACCCACAATGTGAAGAAAAAAAAAAAAATATGTCTTTAATTGTCTAGAATTTCCCACGTTACACCGTAAATGCCATTAGATGAGATAAATACATACTGTTTGTTGTTGGAATGGATTTTCAATAGCCACTATAAATTATGGGATAGTCGAGATTAACAGTGAAGTAGATATTATAAAATTTGATTAATATTTAATTAGGTAATTAGTAAAAAGAATAAGAATATTATTAATAATAGCACATTAATATCAATATTTTTTCTTTTTTATTAAAGTAAAAAATAGAAAAGAGAAATAATTTTACATGCAAAATTGGGTGATGATCATGATGTCTTTGGCACCCTCATGTCTTGCGGACGAATTCTAGCAAGTAGGGATGGATCCAGAATTGTGTTTTTGGACTATGTATTTTTTAATAATCATAAATTTAATTTAATGTATATAAAAATTTAAAGTTGTATTATAAAATTATACATAATAATGGTGCAATATAAATTTCAAAGTTTCAAACCTTGACATTGAAAAATTTACAACTTAACGCTTTCTCAACTCATTAAATTCATTAATAATTGACTCAATACTAATAGTTTTAATATTTTTTCTTTCCATTAAGCATATCTTATATTATCTTATTTTTCAAAAATTACCTATTTTTATTTACATATTTACCATACATTCAATTTATCTCAATTAGAAAAAATGTTGTACAAAAATGCAAAAAGAATATAATTGTAGGTGAATTATTTGTACAAAGAGCAATAAAATTACTATTTTAATATAATTGTATAAGTTTATATGAAAAATGATATACTTAATACATATATATATATATATATATATATATGTATATATATACAAAAAAATTATAAATCTTGGGGAACAATGGCCCCCCTAAATTACTTGTAGATCCGTCCCTACCATAAAGCCTTCACAATAAAGTTCTCCCATGCAAACCCCCAAAAAAAAACATACACGTCGTCTCCTTGTAGAACGATGTATATATAAGTAAAAAAAACAAGTTTTATTTTGCAAATAATTTTTTGATAGTAAAGTAAGTAAAAATGAATGATGCTTTATTTATAGATTTAGTAAAACATGTCTTTGAAGTTGCTGGTTAAGGATTAGATAATGTTCAACTTAGGTCTTATAATCACAGTCCTGTCCTAATTGATTGTGGTGTTAAATGAAATTTTTCCAAAATTTCTCTCCGTCTAAGTGTACATTACATGGAAAGTTATAATAATAATAATAATAATAATAATAATAATAATAATAATAATAATAATAATAATAATAATATAATAATAAAGAATCTACCTATCTAGCCCTAATTTCGCTTCCCTCTCCACGGTCCCAACAGCCAACTTCCGCAGGCGCCCTTCCAGCGGCGGCCCACCGCCGGAGTTTGACAACTGTTCTCTTCCCTGGGTTGGTGGCCTGCTCTTTTTCCGGTCGTCTCCCATGGCGGCCAGAGTAGAAAAAAACCCAAGAATATACTTTCGCACTAATAAGTTCGAAGCCGGAAAAACAGTGACCGAAACAGCATCAAAAAAATTCATTATGTTAAGGTATATTTTCTAATGAAAATTTGAAAAAAAAAAATCTTTGTAAAAAAAAAGATATATTTTCTAATTAAGATTCTTCTTTATGTTATAGGAATTACAATATTTGGTAAATATGATTTGATAAGAAACCTATGAAATTATAGGTATATATGTAAAATAATATATTTTGTTATTTATTTTATTTAGTTTTGTGAAACCTATGAAATTATTTTATATTGATATATGTATATTGAATCCACCGGGCGAACCCTCATCGTCTCTGCGAACCAAACAATCCAAAAACCCATCGTCTCTTCATAATCTTGCCTCCGCCGGTGATGTCGAGGTCGGAATCGTAGCCTTCATCGACTAACCGGCCCTCCCTTGCTGCTATTTCCTTCTCCTAGCTGAGGTACGTCGGTTTCTTGCTCCAACCCTAGGTGGTCAACAGGTCAAATCGAGATGGGGCTTCCTCAATCGGGGCTTGGGTGGCTCGTCGGACATGGTGACGAGGTCGGATTCGGGTTGGTGGGTTTCATCCTGTATTTTTCGGTCGGCTTTTGGGGTTTCCTTTATGTCTGTGCAGGTTGGAATGGTGGAGGGGCTGCTGTATCGACGTTGGGGTCGAGGTTGTGGTGGTGGTTGGAAGGCTGGGCCTCCGACGGTCTCCGTGCTGCCTTTCGGGGGCGGTGGTGTGGCTGCTGGAGATGGGTTCGGTCTGCAGGTGGGTCTTTTCTCGGTTTTTCCTCTTTAGGGTTGATTGGGGGTCCGGATTCCCGGGTTTGGCTAGTGGTGTTAGGCGGACCTGGTTTGTTCCGGCTGGGGCTGCTTGCTCTCCGGTTCTCTTAGTTGATGGTGGACTGACTCTTGTCATGGTTCGGGGGATGATGTTCAGTTTCTGTATAGGCAGTTGCTGCAGTTTCGGGGCTGTTCCTTGTGTTAGGGGTCGTGTCAGGTATTAGTTGTTTCTGCGGATCTTCACCCGTTCGATCATCTGGTGGAGGGCCTTAATATAGTTTTATTTGAGAAAATTGTAATTTTAGTCCACTAACTTAGGTTGTTTCCCGTTTTAGTCCACTAATTTAAGTCGATCCAATTTTGGTCCAAAAACTTCCAAAACTTAGTTAAATCAGTCCAATTACGGTCCCCGTCGCCGAAATCCGATCGGAATGCACTGAGTTGACAATTGTTGGCGTCGATTGGGCTGATGTGGAGCAACTCCCAGCCGATTCACGGACGTGGTCTTCACCACTTATTCCATGTCATTTATAATTTTCGAATAATTCAAATAAATTTGAATTACAAAATCGACCCAACGTTCACATTCACAATCCCCAAATTAAATATCGTACCCTAATCAGTTCTTCCCTGAAGCTCTACTCTGAATCGGCCAAAAAAATTCTAGAAACCAAAAATGTCTTCCATTTCGAGCTCCCTTGACTGTCAATGCAGAAAAAGAGCTGTCCTTCGTACCTCGTAAACCGATGATAATCCCGGCAGGAGGTTTCTCTCATGTTTGTCATGGAAGGTTAGTAATTCAATGTTTCCTGTTGTAGTATAGGATTCTTAAATTATTGAAAATTTACTTCATAATTGAGCTCCCTCGATTAATGTAAAGAGGAGGATGCAAGTTTTTTGAGTGGGAGGACCCTCCAATTTGTCGCCGAGAAAAAGCCATTATACCTGGGCTCCTAAGAAGGGTTAATGCTTTGGAGGATGAGAATAAAGCTCTGAGACAGAAGAACATGAGGCTACTCAAATTTGCCGCAACTATGGTTGTCTTCATACTCGTTTTTGTCATAAAGCTCTAAGACAGAAGAAGAGTGGCATGTGTTCTTGTACTTGTAGGAGCTTAAAAATTTGCTTTGTTGTTTTGCCACTTGTTTTATTTAATCCCATGACTTGGATGTTTAGTTGTTTTGTTCCTGTTTTATGTAATCTCATATTTGAACAGTGGCTTGTATTCTTGTTCTTGTTTGATGCTATAAAATCTTCTTCTTGTTCTTGTTCTTGTTATTGTTCTTGTGGCTGCTTTAAAAGTTGTTCTTGTTTTTCTGAGAATGGTGAATGATGTTTTGCTCAGCAACTGATCTAAGAAAATGTACTAATGATCCAACACAGTGTTACTACTTTTACTTTTGTGTTCAAAGACAATGTACTCAATAGAACATATACAATGTACACACAGCTTGCAAAAACAGACATAAAAATAACATAACTCAATCATAATAGCACTCAACATATGTGCCAAAAAAAAACTTCATAAACATCACAAACTTCATAAACATCAGAAACTTCATAAACATCAGAAACCTCATAAACATCAAACTTCATATTAATTTATGCCAATTCTGGGTTCCCGAAAACACCAAACATCAATCATGGCATTCCAAAACACATTACCATACACAAACCAAGTCCAAACATCTAAATGACACCCAAAAACACCAAAAGTACTACCAATCAACTCCAAACAGAAACATGACTATTACAAACTTCACAATCTCTTGTTTTGCCTGTTTCCATCCAATGAAGAAGCTATCTCATATAAAGGCTTGTACTTTTGCCCCACTATAGGCTCAACTGGAATACCCCTTGGCTTTCTTCCTTGTAGCTGGTCAAACATGGAAGGTCCTTCCACATGTGCAGGTGGACATGCATTAGCTTGAGTTTCATGTGTGCTATAGGGCACTTCATTGGTCTCCACATCAATTTTAGAGGCTGCTTGAATCCACTCAGGGGGAAGTAATGGATTTTGGTTAGGCTCCACGTCAGTTTCCTACAAAGTTAAGAAAATGTGTACATGCATTTCATAGTTTATGATTGACAAAGTTAATGAAGAAAAAACAGAAAATAGACCACTTAAAGTTGCAGTTGCACTCCTTCCCTTATTGTTCTTCCTTACATGTTGAACAACAAACAGAATATAAATTTCTACATACAATCAGATTAAAATGTAAGAAGTATATGTAAGTTTAAAAAAGAAATAAATAGACTTTCTTACCTGTAACTTCCTAATAGGCTCACTTTGGACATTTGTTGAAGCTCTTTTTTCACAAGTCTTTGCATTGTGACCTATTGCAGCACAGTTGCCACATTTTATGTGTTTTTGCAGCCTTCTTGCCTTCTGAACACCTGCATTGCCACTTTTTTTTTTCTTATCAGCTACCTCATGTGCATCCATTCTTATTGCCCTTGTCTGCCTGCCTGAATCTCTACCAAAATTAGGAGGTAATGGTGGTATGTAAAAGCTCTTATCCCACAACATTTCATCATTTATGCCCATGATTATTGGGGCATAGACCTTCTTGTAAGTCTCAACACTATAACATGGATCCAAAAAACCAAATGGATCCAACTTTGCCAAGTACATTTCACTGCATGAATGAGGGAAGGGTATGCCAGTGAGTCCCCACTTTCTACAAGTACAAGTACACTCTTTCAGGTTCACAATGTATTGCCCTCCATTAAAGGTTGAAACTTCCCAATGGACATTGTCACATTTCAAAGGCATGTAATTCCCAACCTGCTCAATATGCTCAACAAGTATCTGCTTAATATTTGGACACTCCTTCTCTGTCCATTTTACTTCTGCTCTATCTCTATTTTGTTGCATTTTGGTGATTAGATACTGCCTAAGCCATTCAAGCATAGTCAAAACTGGTTTTTCTCTAGCCTCTAATATGTTGTTGTTGAATACTTCACACACATTATTCAACACCAAATCACATTTAGGGCCATAAGTAAAGTGACTTTTGCTCCATTGCTCAGGTGTCTTACCACTTACCCAGAGAGCTGTCTCTGGTGATAGAGACTCAATTTCTTTCATCTGGTGATTGAACTCTCCAACAGTGGTTGCATTAGCACATCTCCATAAACCATTTTTTTAAATACAACCCCCTAAAACCAGCAGTTTGGAAGTTGGAGTTCAAATGCCTCACACAAAATCTGTGAAAACTCCCAGGTAAAACCTCACTAAATGCTTGAACTATACCTTTTTGCTTATCTGATATAAATGTACAATCTTCTTGTTCTTTAATTTCAAGATCATTCTTCAACAAAATCAAAAACCACTCCCAGTTCTCTCTGTTTTCTATGCTCACAATTCCATATGCAATAGGGTATAGATTGTTATTAGGGTCCACACCAACAGTTGTTAGCAATTGACCTTTATGTGGACCCTTAAGAAAACAACCATCAACCCCTACAAACCTCCTGCAACCAGCTTCAAAACCATGTTTTACTGCTGAGAAACAAACATAAAACTTACTAAATCTGTGTTCCCCATTTTCATTTTCCTTTGTCCCTAAAACAACTGTGGAACCAAGATTAGACCTCAACAACTCCTCCCTATAAACCCACAACTTACAGTACTGCATATTATAGGTACCCTCAATCAGATGTAAAGCCCTTTGTTTTGTTCTATATGCCTGATGTTTAGAAACATTAACACCAATGTCTTTCACAACCCCTTTTCTCCATGGTTTAACTTTTCTACCAGGATCAGTCTTAACATTTTTAACATGACAGTTAACCATGATGCATCTATGTACTTCTCAGTCAACCAAGATGATTTAACATTTTTAACATAAAAACTAGGAGCACATGTGTACTTGGCATTCATTTCCTTGATTCTGTAAGAAGTTGAGTCCTTCACTTGAACAAGGTGAATTTTCCAAGGACAACTTTCTTCCCCACAAACCATATAAACTCTGTACTTATCATTATTTTTGAATTTCACTGTTCTTTTGGTTTTGATTGCAAAAGAGGTGACAACTTTCTTAAACACTGGTCTACTGCTAAACACCATGCCTATTTTAAATGAAGGATTAAATGCAAGTTCTGGATTGAACAAAGGAAACTATTCATCAGACAAGTTATCATTCAAAACTCCACTTCCATTAACAACATCAGCCTCAGAACTTTCACTATCTCCATCACCAGCAATTTCAGATTCATTATTTCTTGCGGGGTTCTCATCAACAACAGGATCAACACTAGTGTTCTCAGCAACATGTTCATTATCATTTACAGGAATCTTATCAACATCATTTGCAGAAATGTCATCACAAATTTTATATTTCCCCAGTGAACAAAATTTATCATCATCATATGACCCCTTCCAACCCAGTCAAAAACTTTCACAGAACCACATATGTATCTTGCCTTAGGGACATGTTCAAACTGACCTCCATGATGCATCACAAGAGTTACAGGAGAAGAATCTGGATCTACAATGACAAAAAGTATTCAAACATTATACTTTATGCCAAAATAAACTATGCAACAAAGATATACAAACAAAAAAAACTTTTTCAAAATTCAAAGATAAAGTCGAAAGCACCCAAAGACCGACATAACTTGCCCACCCTACCCCACATGATTCAATGTTCAATAACAATGCACACCTAACCGACAAACATAAAAAGAAACATTGTAAATTAAAATTTTAAATTTCATAAGGGACCACAAAAACATGTATTTGTATGAATTTCGTATATTATATTGAAATTACTCAGCAAATAAAGGTTAACACATGAGACTTGCGATATATGGACGGGGGTAGGTCAGCGTGCAACGGGTTTCTGTACATCACCATCTTCGATGGTGTATGGCTTGAATTCAACAAAACGACGATGGCCCAGGGTTCTTTTGACGGAAATGGTGAAGACGAGGATGGCTTCTTGCGATTAGGGTTACCACTTTCGTTTGGAACTTAAGAAATCTGGAGTTTGGTTTCAAATGGCAAGAACGAAGACGAAACTTTTGGGATTAGGGTTAGATGGTAAGTAATTTTGGCGCCCGATTTGGGGTTATTACAGAATTTTTGGGATTAGGTTTAGATGGTAAGTAATTTTGGTGCCCGATTTTGGGTTATTAAATGAATTATGTGGAAAAAATTATTTTTTGAAAATTATAAATGACATGGAATAAGTGGTGAAGTCCACGTCAGTGAATCGGTCGAAAATTGCTCCACATCAGCCCAATCGACGCCAACAATTGCCAACTCAGCGCATTCCGATCAGATTGCGGCGATGGGGATCGAAATTGGACTGATTTAAGTAAGTTTTGGAAGTTTGTGGACCAAAATTGGATCGGCTTAAGTTAGTGGACTAAAACGGGAAACATCCTAAGTTAGTGGACTAAAATTGCAATTTTCTCGTTTTATTATTAGTGTTTTCTTGTGTTTTGTTTCCTTATGTGTTTTAGGTTTTGGTTTGGGGCTGATTTACAAGCTAGGCATTGTGCAGTGGTTTTGTATTTCATTCTCCTTTTATTTGTTGTTTGCCGAGTTGTCTCGGCCGCCTTAGGCGTGTCCTCTCACTTTCTTATTCCTGTTGTTCTAGGAGCGTTTTTGGTTTGGGTCATTGACCCCTGTCACATTACCCTGTTGGAGTCTTTTCTTTTTACCCTGTTGGGGTTTCTTCTTATTACCCTGTTGTGGTCTTCTAGTTTGTAATTTTGCACTTTTGTGCCCTTTTATAGTACCTCTATCGTTTTGGAAAAAAAAATATATGTATATTGTACCATTGGTAGGATATATTGTTCCCTATCTGATCCTGGAGTTGTCCCAAATTAAATGCTTCTTTGTTATACATGTAATGTATTTTTCTAATTATTGGTTCTTATTTAGTGTTATTCTTTATTTTGGTTCTAAGATTTTTGTGAAACTTTGAGAACGAGAAAGGTGAAAAGGCTATATGACTGGATTTTACTAATAGCTCAAACACAACAAACTCAATATAACATAAATAGACATAAACGAAATAATAGTAAAATATAATAACAATCATACTAGAGGTCGGAATCG